TTATCAAGAAATCACATCCTATCTATTGATAAATGAGGACCTCTGTGCTCACCACACAAAATCCCAGGGTACTGACTACATATAGGGGCTTATATTCCAGCCCTTGGCATGTGAGATGTAGACGTTCTTTTCTTCTCAAGATGTAGACACAACTCCCTCTAATTAATGTACCATGTTAGATGTGATCTCATTAGCACTCCTGAACAATGAAGAATTCATAATTTAAGTAATTGGATGAAGGTATTGCTAAGGAAAACCCAGGTTGCTATGCGAACTAACATTAGTGATTCATTAGGAATTGCTTTCCCTTTGATTCATTGGACCAGCCTGGTGTCAAAGAATCATGCTGCTAGAAGTTTGCCTCTCTGATGAGTGATGCATAAAACCAGAATTCACAAAGCATGTGTATTTAAATAAAAAGCTGTTACCAAGAAGAGGGAGAAAATTTGTTCTCATTAACCTCTGAAGCTAGGACAAGAATCAATCGGCTTAAATTGAAGCAAAAGTGATTTAGATCAGATGTAGGAAAAACTTCCTGTCAGAATAATTAGGTACTAGAATAATTGCCAATGGAGCATGGGGTCTCTCTTATGGGAGATTTTTAAGAGCAGGTTAGACAACCCTTCCTAGGGATGGTCTAGATTGGTGGTCACCAACCCATTGATCGTGATCGACTGGCAAATCGGGAAGCATCAGCCAGTCGATTGCGAGGCATTCAAGACCTTCCTCATTTCCCCCCACCCCGAAGAAGCCCCACTACCTACCTCCAGCAACGAGGGAGGTAGTGCCAGCTTCCTGAGGGGTGGACGGAAGTCCAGCAGCTGCGCGCCTTCTGTGGTTTGAGGAAGTGCGCAGACTACTCCCTCTCCCCCAAACAGCTGGCACCGTACCACAAAGCAGGTCTGAGGAACGCCAGGGACTCTCTGCGCGGGGTGGAGATAGGAGTCCCCAGAGGAGGCGCGTGCTCGGGAGGGGGGTTAGAAGTCCTGTGAAGAGGCATGTGCCTGGGCTTCCCTCCTCTATGGGGGGGGGACGAGGGAAGAATCCCCAGAGGAGGCGCACGCTGGGGCTTCCCTCCTCCACAGGGGCAGGGGGTTAGAAGTCCTGAGAAGAGGCATGCAACTGGACTTTGCTCCTCTTGGGGGGAGGAGTCCCCAGAGGAGGTGCATGCTGGGGACTCCCTGTCCCCTGCAGCAGAACCCACTGGCACTCTGTCCACTGCCCCAGCACCCACTAGCACCCTTCCCCATTACCATGTCCTCTGCTCCCACTACCACAGTTGGGGCCACATTAGTGAGGTTTGGGGAAGGGGGTTGGAGGAGTTATTTTTTTGCATCTTACTTCTGTGGCCCCAAATGACTGACCCACAGAAAAGTGAACCCTGACTCAAAACAGGCTCCCTGCCCTTCTCATAAATAAAGACAATACTGAAACTTTTTGTGTTTGACATAATATTTTATTTAAAAATGAAGCCTGTCCAACAAACCCCCAATTGGGGCCAAGCCCCCATCTGGCAACAGCTTTATAGCACTCCTGTACCCCCTGCTCCCCGATCCAAGATCTGAGCCTATCATACACAGGCACCCCCTGTCCTCAGCTCCTCACATCCCCAAACTCCTGCAGCCCCACATCCTCAGTCTTCTGACACAACACTCTTGCACCATCCACACATTGCAAATCTGTGTCCTGAGCCCATTATACTTCCAACCTCCCTGCCCTGAGCCCCTCACATACCCCAACCCAAAGCCTGTGGCTTGCTCAGTCCCCCAACCCTCCACCTGACCCCCAACATTCCTCAGCCTGTAGCCTCCTCCCCAAGCCGCCAGCGTCCCCTTCTCCACCTCCTACATCCAAATTCCCTCCCAGATTCATACACAGGCACCCCCTGTCCTCAGCTCCTCACATCCCCAAACTCCTGCAGCCCCACATCCTCAGTCTTCTGCCACAACACTCCTGCACCATCCACACATCTGCAAATCTGCACCATCTGCACACTGCCCATCGTACTCCCAACCTGCCTGACCTGAGCCCCTCACATACTCCAACCCAAATATCTGCACCCTCACATCCACAAGCATGTGGTTTGCTCAGTGCCCCAACCCTCCACCTGACCCCAACACTCCCCATCCTGGAACCCTCTCCCTGAGCCAGCGTCCCCTTCTCCACCTCCTACATCCAAATTCCCTCCCAGATCTTGAACCTCTCACCCCTTCCCACACCCAAATCCCTAATTCCCACCCAGAGCCCACACATCCTGTCTCAACCTAGTGAGGATATGGCTAAACTGCAGGAGTTTTTCCAGGATTCCAGAGGTATCCCAGAAAAACTCTTCTGTGTCCAGGGATGCATTTGTTCTTCTGCTTTTTTTAGCGGAACAGCAAACACGCTTTTTTGGTAACATCTGTATTCCTCGTTCCATGAGAAATAAGGGGGCTTCAGAAAGAAGGGGTTTTCTGACATTTGGCCCAGTCTAGACAGAATTTTAAAAAAAGCAGCAGTGTAGCTGTACCCTGAGAGTGTATAAGGGCTGGGGATAGCAAGTGATGGAGAGGAGGAGAACAGAGGGCGGGGCTTTAAGGAGCGGGTGGGGTTTTGGGGGAAGGGTGGGGCAGTAGATCTTGGCTTGTTCTGATATTTAAAAAGTGATCTTGAATGTAAAAAGGTTGGAGACCATTGGTCTAGATAATACTTAGTCCTCCCATACGATCGAGGGACTAGATTAGATGTCCTCTTGAGGTCCCTTTCAGTTTTATGAATCCATTTTTCTTTCTTGAAATGTATTAAAATGACATGGTCTATAATTCAGTCAGTTATTAAAACTGGATTTTGTAGTAAACGTGGTAGCGTATACACAGGAGGCAGAATGGGTCAGTAAAGAGGTGGAGTTCAGGAGAGCCGGTTACCATTTTCAGGTTTCCTTTGCCTTGCTTTTTGACCTGGAGCTAGTCACTTAATCACTACATGTCCATGTTCTTATCTGTATTAATTGGATGGTTATACATATTCACCTATGTATGGTGCTTTGACATTTATGGATGCAAAGCACAGTATACTATATGCATGTAGTGTAAATGATTGGGAAATAGAGCCCATGGAGTATGGTCTTTACTTGTCTTTTTGGAGCACGGTCTTTCTGGAGCGGGGGACCAAGTACAGTATTTAGTATATATTTGAGAGAATTTGTGCATCTGTCTGCCTGTGTATTTCTCCATCTGTCTGCAAGTCCTTTTGTTCAAGAACTCCTTCTAAATGGTAAGAGCTAGGACCACCAAACTTAGCATGCAGTTTCCTCTTATTATAACTTAAATCAGAGCTACTCAACTTTGGAAGCCCCAGGGCCACAATGATACTCTCAGCACATGCCGAGAGCCGCAACTTAAGTGTGGTTGCACATACATGCAAATATATATGCAAATGGCTTCTTTTTCACACTGATGGGCAAGAATACAAAGATTAAGGCAAGATTACACAACACACAGGCCCCATTTAAATCAGTTCTGCTGATATTAATAAAATGCAATATTTACTCGATTTCCATATGAGCTTTTAATGAGCAATGACAGTTCAGGAATTCAACTACTAAAACGCATATCAACAGAAGACCATTGTACTGACTTCTTTTTTGTTTTAGCTCCCACCCATGGGCCACAAACAAATGGGCCACAGGCCATGTGTTGAGTAGCCCTGACTTAAAGCAGAGACATTTATGTTCATGAATGACCATAAGGAACCAAGCATGGGGGATAGTTATACCCTAGAATGACCACAGGAGGTAAACACCCCAACCCTGGGAAGCAGCCACTGGCCGGCAGCAGGA